TTCATTAAATAGCAGATCCTTTAGAGTCTATAATAAACGTACTTTATGTGTGGAAGAATCTGTACATGTTATATTCGATGAAAATAATCCCTTGGTCGAGAAAGGAATTACTGCAGGTGACGAAGATCAAACTCAAGAAGCTCAGGATAAAGGAGAAACACAAGAGTCGACTAATACACCGACTGTGACCGAGTCAACTGGTGAAAATAGCAAAAACATACCAGAGCCACTAATCGAGTCGACTACAAATGCAGTTCGTCCAAATGAATGGAGAAGCGAGCCTGAATATCCTCAGAAATTCATTATAGGGGATCCAAACGAAGGAATGAAAACCAGGACAGCTCTCACAAAGAAAGCAAACATTGCATTGATTTCTCAAATTGAGCCAAAAAAGATAGAGAAAGCACTGAATTATTCAAGCTGGGTGCAAGCCATGCAAGAAGAGTTAGATCAGTTCAGTAAGAATCAAGTGTGGAAACTAATACCCAAACCTGATAATGTATCTGTAATCGGAACAAAGTGGGTATTTAGAAATAAATTGAACGAGGATGGAAAGGTCATAAGAAATAAAGCTAGACTAGTTGCTCAGGGCTACTCACAACAAGAAGGAGTCGACTATGATGAAACTTTCGCCCCAGTAGGTCGTTTGGAGTCTATACGAATTCTTCTGGCATACACATCGTTTAAAGGATTCAGGCTGTTTCAAATGGATGTTAAAAGCGCCTTTTTAAATGGATTTATCGAGAAAGAAGTATTTGTGAAACAACCTCCAGGCTTTGAGGATTCAAAATTTCCATACCATGTATACAAGCTCACTAAAGCACTGTATGGGTTGAAACAAGCTCCATGTGCCTGGTATGATAGGCTGAGTACCTTTGTTATTGATCATGGCTTTACAAGAGGTAAATAGACACGACCCTGTTTATTAAACGATCATCAGAAGGTAACCTCATTATTCAAATTTATGTTGATGACATTATATTTGGTAGTCCTAACCCTCTTATGTGCAAGGAATTTTCAAATCTTATGCAAAGTGAATTTGGAATGAGCATGATGGGTGAGCTCACATTCTTCCTTGGGCTACAAATTCAACAATCTGATGAAGGAACCTTCATATGTCAAACCAAATACACAAAAGAGCTGATTCAAAAATTTGGTATGAACAATGCAAAATCAATTGGCACTCCAATGAGTCCCGCTACAAATCTAGACAAAGATGAACAGGGCACTCCTGTTGATGAAACCAAATATCGGGGAATGATTGGATCACTGCTATATCTGACAGCAAGTCGACCAGATATTATGTTCAGTGTATGTAAATGTGCCAGGTTTCAGTCAGCTCCTAAGGAGTCACATTTGACTGCTGTAAAGAGAATCATTCGATATCTCATTGGAACTGTATCTCATGGATTATGGTATCCTCGCTCCAACTCTTTTAAATTAGAAGGTTTTTCAGATGCTGACCTTGCAGGTGATAAAGAAGATAGAAAAAGCACATGCGGCACATGTCAATTACTAGGAAAGGCATTAATATCCTGGAGTAGTAAAAAGCAAGCATCAGTCGCATTATCCACTACGGAAGCCGAATACATTGCTATTGGACAATGTTGTGCACAACTACTACGGATGTCTCATCAATTGGGTGACTATGAACTCTCTTTTAAACCTATCCAAATTTTTTGTGATAATTCTAGTGTTATTTGTCTTTCAAAAAATCCGGTGCATCATTCTAGAGCAAAGCATATAGATATTAAGCATTATTTTATTAGAGATCATGTTCTTAAGGGAGACATAGAAATATCTTTTGTTGGAACTTCTGCTCAACTAGCTGATATTTTTACTAAACCTTTATTAGAAGAGAGATTTTATACTTTGAGAAATTTACTTGGTATTATTTGCACTTCTAATAACTCTTAGGACCTATGTGCTCAGTTACTTTTAATTGCTATAATTGTCCTTTTCCCACGCTTTAATTACGCCTCCGCTTTTTCTCTCTCTTTTCTCTTCTTTCACATCGGTTCGCAGCTCAAAGATGGAAAGCCATCCATCACGTCTTCTCAACTGACAACTTTTCCTTTTCTGTACTCAACCGTCAAAACCCTCTTCTTAAGACAGAAAACCCTTTCAATCACTCTCATCTCCATCTATTCTCCAAAAGCTTCTATCAAAGTTCCTTCTCTACAATGGCGAAACACTCCAAAAATCCTTCTGCTTCCACCAGAAAGAGTACCCGTTCCAGAGCAAAAACCCCTTCTGCGCCTCCTGAGCAAGTAGACCTAGGATCTGATCACTCTGAAGGCTTCGCCTCATCTCAGGGAGATCTCTCTGAAAACTCACCTCTTCTAGGAGAAAATGCTTTAAGCAAGCGACCCATGGAAGAACCCCCTATTTCGTCCACCCCAAAGAAATCAAAAGTTAGTTTCTCTGCCTCTCTTGAGTCTGACCTAAATTTCTGGGATTCCCCAAATAGGGATCTTTTTATTGCTCTAAAAGACAAGCCCATCGCTCATGGGAGGGTTGTTGATCTTGATGACATGGAATCCCTTAACTGTAAGGTCAAAGAACTTTTCGTTTATCAAGGATGGGCAAAGTTCCTCTCTATTCCTCCGCCTAAGGTGTATGAACCCCTGGTCAAAATATTTTATGCAAATCTTCGTTCTAGTAAACCTGATAGGTTGGAATCTCTGGTACTCGGTCAGCGCATTGTTCTTGATTGTGCCCTATTTGACTCACTTTTTCAGTGTCGTTGTTCTGGTTTTCCTACTTTGTTTAAAAACATCTGGCTTGATGACTTCGAAATTTCTTTTGACCAAGCCAAACAGTGCATTGCTGAGTGTCCCTCTGAAACCCTTCCAAACCAATTAGGCCCTAGTGATGTCGGTTTTGAAACACGGGTTCTGGCCCACATTGTGGCAACCACCTTGCTTCCCCGTACTGGTTCTTTTTCAACCTTCTCTCAAAGAGACACATTCTTTGTCTATTGCCTTGTAACCAAACTCAAAATCAAGCTTTCCTCCTGGGTTATCAATCTCATGATAGAAAGTGCTGAAGATCTCACTAGTTTACCCTATGGCATGGCAATCACTCATATTCTGGAAGCCCATCATATTTCCCTGTCCAACTATCCTTTCATCTCTGTCTCCAAGTCCTACAATTCTAGAGCCTTTTCTAGTATGGGCTATGTAAATATCAAGGGCTCTTGGGTTAAGAAAGGCGAGAATGAAGCAAAACAGGCCCCTGTAGAACCCAACCCTTCTCCCGTTGTTCCCCCACTTAATCTTGACAGTTCTGAGCTTAGTGACAAGCTTTGTGTTATTCACTCCCAACTCTCTGAAATCAAGAACCTTCTCACCGCCACTCAGTCTATTGTTGGTGACATTCATGCTATTTTCAAGGAAACAGGGTCTGACGTGTCCAAAATTAGAGTTGTTGTTCTCAGAGTGAGGGAGAATGCTGTCAAGGCTTTCAGGGAGATTCATGACAGGCTGGATGGTGTGAGCATTTCTGCGAATGCCAGCTTCGATCAGTTAAAGGAGGCCATCTGCAACACCCTTACCTATTTCATGCGCCGCTAGTGTGGTTGTTTTTAAGACATTTTGTTTTGTTGTTGTTTGTTTTAGACAATTTGCTCTTGTGGGCTGTGTTAAGCCCTTGGATATTTTTTTGCTGTGCTGCTTTTGTGGGCTGCTTTACCAGCCATTAGATAATCCCTTTACCTCCTCTGTTTTAATGTTATCTTTTCAGTTCTCGTATTATTCCCTCTTTGGTGATGACAAAAAGGGAGAGTAAAATTGTACAGGTAGCCATATATATTGTACAAGTACAGTGAAGAAATAGAAGTCGACTGGTCTGTTACCTAGTCAAGTCGATTGCATACATTGAGGGGGAGTATCATGGACTAGTCAAGTCGACTGCATACATTGAGGGGGAGTAAAACACAGGGAAGTCGACTGGTGTTTACCTCTTTACATTACTATATTATTTTGCCATCATCAAAAAGGGGGAGATTGCTAGATTCTGTTTTAATGATGCAAATAATATACATGTGCAAATAATATACATGTGCAGGAAATCAATTACAAGAAGTAAAGAAGAGTCCTCAAGACTGCTGAAGTAAATCATAATGAATAAGGGAAAAAATCAAATAGCAAAGATTACCATACAATCAGTCAATCTGGACGAAATCCAATCAACAAATCAATCGGCAAAGAGCAACGACTAGCTGAGCTGAAGAGAATCAATCAAGCCTTAAGTTAAGGCACAAATCAAGGGCAGCATCACGGAAGATCGAAAGATATGAGAAGATTGGTATGCGACTAAGTTTGGAAGATCCAACGATCAAGGAGCAGTATTCACTCGTATCTTTGCTGAAGGAAGGAAATCGAGAAGTCGCAACGACTCTCTACCTTATTCTTGGAAAGAATCAATTCTTTCCAAGGATCAAATCTCTTGGGTTTTCAAGCCTCTACCATCCATCAAAGTATTTATACCCCGTCTTAAACCCTAGTCTGACATACTTTGATCGAACCAAAATCACTCTCTTTGTTCTACTGCAAACAAGCATTGTAGTTCACTAAGATCTGCTGTGTAACAAGTCAGGGAAAGAAAGAGAGCATAATACTGGTGAGGCATTGTATCAAAAATGAGTGCTTGAGAAACTGTGTGCAAATTCACTACAACTGTACTCGGAGAAACACATTTACTAAAGAGAACTCCCTTGCAACCCAAGGGGACTGGACTAGGATTGACATTGAATCCGAACCAGTATAAAATCCTGGTGTCTTTAATTCCTGCCATTACTTTCTGCAATTTACTTCCCTTTATTATATCTGCTGAATTATCATATCTAGTCGACTACTCAATTAATAAGTCAACTAATAAGCAATTAAGTTCAAATATTTACAATTCACCCCCCTCTTGTACTTTAAGTAATTACCTTAGACTTTTAGTCTACTTGTATGTAAACATTTCACGCTGCAGGTATATAAAACATAAACTCAGGACCTGAACCATATAATAGGGTCCGTAATCTCCATTTGATTAGTGAAATCACTCCGTAGAAACAATCAAGAGTCTGCAAATCCAATAGACTAGTTAAACAATACACTCCAGTAGATAACAGGACTTCTTATCTATATTATTACAAGAAAAACCAAACGCAAAAATCAGCAACACGTTATTTAAGAGCTGATTAACTGTTACATATTACATTCTGCTTTAAGCTTGATTTATATTTCAGTATCATCAAGCAGCAGCAACAGCTTCTGCGGGCTTTTCGTCTACGGGCTTAGCTTCGGGTTCAGCTGGTGTATCTGCAGGCTTTTCTTCTGTGGGCTTTACTTCAACGAGCTTAGTTTCGGGTTCAGTTGGTGCTGGTGCTGGTGTTTCTGCTTCCCAAAAAGAAGTCTTCTTTCCAGTCTTAGAAACAGTTTGGAAAACAGCTTCTGGCTCCACATTTCCCTTTACTGTCACCTTTTGCTCCTTAATATCGATGTCATAAGATTCAACACCTATAATGATTTGTACACAAGATTAGAGTGAGGTCAAATTAGTTGTTAGTTGCTCAACTATTAACTGGGGAAAAAATTGGAGCTAATAAGGCGATATACAGACGACCAAAGTGGCACCTATCATGGCTAATGAATAAAAAAAAAAAACTCATCAAAGGTGATGTTTGAGATCATACGAGGTATAGGAAATTATAGTATTCGTGGGCAATAAGACAAGCCAAGTATTCATGCAACAAGTGATAGAACGACCAGGAAAAGTTAATGCTTACATTTAAGGACAACTGAGAAGGCACGAAAGGAAATTTATGGTGCTAGCAAGTTAAAGGAAGGTTGCGAGTAGTATAAATAGATAAGTGTAGGTCGTAAGGTAAAGTATCGCAGAGCAACAAGGTTTTAGGTAGATAGGAGTAAGGATGTGAAAAGGTGAGTGAGAAGGTGACGAGAATATGTATGTCCTTGGGATTAAACCCATCAAAACAAGGGAATGATGATTTCCATATATAATAAAAATCTCGGTACAGCCTGAATAAACACAGAGGAGTCTAAGACTAGGAGCAATTAGAAGAGAGGAAATGCTGCCCCATTAGTAGAATAAGGGTGTAATTGTGATAGATAAAAGGATGACATTTAGGCCTTTGATTGAGGAATGATTTAAAGAAAAGGGATTTTATGAATTGCACGGGATTGGAATACCCCCATAAGATGAATCATGTTAGAATGCTATGAAATACGGTTATTGAGGTATAGTATCGTCCCAAGGTGGATCGGGCAAATCACTTCAGATGTTCCCCGATGAGACGTGAGCCCTAGTGACAATGTATTACGTAAGAGGTTTCATTTTGGATTAACATTAAGGTGAATCACCAATGGATGGATAAAAGTTGCAAAGTATGAGATGAGATTAAACCGTCATTATTAAGATTAACAGTAATGAAGAAGCATTAAAGGACTTAGATTTATACATATAGGACAAGCAGTGAAAGAATAACCCAGAGCTGGGTGGCAGACCACGGTAATAATAAACCGAAGTAAGAGTTAGGATATAGCATGACCTACCTAGATATAGTAAAACCATAGTCGTAAGTTCGACAAAGTACCAAGCGAAGAACTTTAGTACACCTATAGATGCCTAGAGGGACATCTTGTCATAGTTCTGTATATGTTCACAAAGTGAGACCTAGAGATTGGCTAAAAGTCGGAGGAAAAAGGAGAGAAGAGTCGCATAGGCACACATACAAGTACATGGTTGTACATGATGCATGTCAGAAGGTAACAACAGTTACGAGATTGGAAGAATTCCGACCACAGGTCGTGGTGTGAGAAAGAGGCCTAAAGGGAGGAATACCTTGGCCTTTGGATTTATTTACAGAACAGTTTCCTAGATGTCAAGGACAATATTAACGTATTCGTAAGAGCTACAGGTTATGAGAGTGATAAGTGCATTTGTCAACATTCGAGGACGAATGTTCCAAAGGAGGGAATGATGTTACACCCCAAGTTTTCATACGTGAGAGTACGTCGTAAGTCATTGATGTAAGCTCGAAAATGACTAATCCAAGATTTAAATTTGATGAGTTTTTTAAGACTTTTACAATTGCACACCTCGTACTTTTGAAATTATGGATTCAATATTTAATATTTTGTTGACGTTTTATTAATGTTCCACATGTGTATCTACTCTCATGGCGGGTTCTATTGAACCTATTATTTTAACGGTGCATCCACAACTGCCACTAGAGTACTAGACCATGTAAGTTACTCAATTTACTGTCGCCCTTTCGCTTAATGGAGTTTAGCGAAATTCCGCTCTTACAAAATTGCAGAGTAAGGTGCGTATAATCTGTCCCTTCACTAAAAATTTCGTGCATAGCGAGAGATCAATGCACCTGGTTGTACTCTTTATTTAGACATCGAAGAAAAGGAAGAACATTTTTGAGAAAAGTAGTGACGTTGTATGAGATTATATATAGGCAATCCTACTGTGGCAACTGTATCAATTAAGCTAGGATAATTAGGATAAATGTTGTAAAGGATAAATAAAGGATAAAAGTGCAATTATATATTTATAAGTACCTTCCATTTTCCCCAAAACTCTGTTTACAGCTCCTACACAACCTTGGCATGACATGCCAACCTTGAGAACAACGGTCTGCTATCATTTAATTTAGCCCAAAAAAAAAACATCAGATGATAAATAGACCAAATAAAAAAAGACTTTCACCATTTAACATAACAAAACACTAATTCATGTGATACTTTTCGCTTTTCAACATTCAATTTATGTGAGTGTATTTGGACATAGAATTTTTAAATTTTTCGAAATAAAATTTAGTTTACATATTTGAAAACTAGGTAAAATATATTGTTAGTCACAATAATTAATAAAATAAAATATGTAAAGCCATATGAAAAAATTACGGTCAAAAATTAATTTGTTTGACTCTCGAAATCCGAAACACATTCACATAAATGAGAACGAATGGAGTAGATGAGTTAACAATGTTTTCCAGATAGAACAATTGGTTAACGAGCAAACCCAGAATTCAATTTTAATTAAGCTCCAAAGAGCAAATCCTTTCTTTTTATTTAGATGATTAACTATAATTAAGAGGGAAAAGATGGAAAATCCCACTGATTAGTAGTAGTTGGATAATAAACTAAGTACTGGAAATAGGAACAAACAAAATTCAAAGAAGTGATCATATATAATTTCAAAGCTTTATATTTATCCTCTTCCCACTATAACAACAAATTATTCACACCAAGAACCAAAAAATTTCAGCTCAAGGTGAGAAAATCCAAATTAAAAATAGGATTATACAACCAAAACTTATCAACCCCTTAAGAGAATCAAGATTATTAACAATATAACCAGAGAAAAACAACAAACTAAATAGAATATTAAAAAAATTAGTGAAGTGTAAGAAAAAGTTACCTGAGACATGATGATTAAATGTAGGAGGGAGAAAAAACTGAGGGAGGTCTTGCTTTCGTGGGAAGAAACACTCTCTTTGGCCTTTGAGGTTATGGGAGAGTTCGCGTGCCTAATCGCTATATATAGAAGGAATAAAGGACAAAATACTAAGTTACCATTATAAATTTATAAATTAAAATGAGTATAGTAGTTAACTATATGCTTGAGGGATAAAAAAAGATATGTTTAAGGTAATCGTTGAGTAGGTGTAAATCAGAGGCAGATTCAAAATTTTAACTTTATGGGTTCAAGATTATAATTCCAGCGACTAACCCGTCACATTGTTTGAATTATGGATTTATAGCTCAATTTTTTCAGTAATTTTAATAAATTTTATTTTGAAAGTCCATATCTAGAATAGAGATTATGGGTTCAATTGAACCCATAGCTAAACAGTTAGATCCGTCCCTGTGTAAGCTATAATTTAATAATAAGAATGTATGTGAAGACAAGTGTATGTAATCATTATGTTGGTATAAATATCGTGTGTGATAAGTTTTTTACCTAATAATATTATGCTTTCTCCTCTCTAAATATTAATCATTTAAACAAAATTTATTTTAAATTTTAATATTTTTTTTAAAAAAATAAGAAGTTAGTTTTTAATTTCTTTTTAAATGATTTTACTGCTCTAACTAATAAAATTGTGTAAAGAGAAACAAAAATTGTTTAGATAACACTTTTATAAATAAATTATTAATATATTTTCTAAAGAATCTCTTAAAATTTTAAAGATGGATAATATAAATAGGATTATATACCAAGGAATTTAAGACTATGAAGTCATAATGTTGTTGAAAATATGTAGATGTGATGTGCACTAGGAATGAGTTGTAGTTAGTGGTTAGCTGGTTGGGTTGACCAACCTTTTGTTCGAGATACTAATCTTCTCACGTAACGTAAACGCAAGCATTATGCATATATAGGCTGATCCTCTTTCTTCTTTTTTCATTGTTCGTGGGACACATAGATATCTCATTTTCTAGGACTAGTAGCTCCTAATAATTTGGGATAGGTAAAAATGTATTATTTTAATAATTAAAAGTTAAAGTAGATATACATCTACTAGTCATCTACCAGCGGGGTCGCATTTACGACTTTTCAGTTTACTGGAACTGTCTTCACTTGGTGGGAGGCTTATGAGAGGCGTAGGCCTGTTGGTACGGCGCCCCTTACCTGGCAGCAGTTCTCCGTTCTCTTTTTGGAGAAGTATGTGCCACAGTCCCGCAGGGAGGAGCTGCGCAAGCAGTTCGAGCAGTTGCGACAGGAGATATGACTGTGATGTAGTACGAGATGAGGTTCTCAGAGTTAGCTCGTCATGCTATTTGGTTGGTTTCTACGTATAGAGAGAGGATCAGGAGGTTCGTTGATGGCCTCACATATCAGCTTCGGATTCTCATGACCAGGGATAGGGTGTCAGGTGCTACTTTTGAGGAGGTTAGTGATATCGCTCGTGAGATTAAGTCAGTTCGTCGCCAGGAGCGAGAGGAGAGGGAGGCCAAGAGGCCTCGGGGATCTAGTAGTTTTGGGGGTGCTCCTTCGAGAGGTCAGTTTCAGCACGGCAGAGGCCGCCCATTCAGGCATGCTCAGTCAGCTCGCCCAGGTTATCGTAGGGCATCATCGGGCCATGGTTCTCACAGTTCTCAGCAGGGTCATTCCTCACTCAGTGCCCTTCCAGCCCAGAGTTCGTCCCGTGCTCCATCAGTTCAGGGCTCTTCTATGCCAGGTTCTTCAGCTAGTCATCCCGGTGCTAGGGGTTCCCTTCAGTCCCCATCTACAGAACCATGGAGTTATTATGAGTGTAGGGAGTTGGGACATATGTGGAGGCAGTGTCCTCGTCGTCTTGGGGGTTCATCTCAGCAGAGGAGCCAGTCATTGACTTCAGCACCAATTACTTCACCACCCACCCAGCCAGCTAGGGGTGGAGGAAAGTCATCTAGGGGTCGCCCGAGAGGGGGAGGTCGATCAGGTGGTGGTCAGGCCCGTTTCTATGCATTTCCAGCTAGACCTGATGCTATGGCTTCAGATGCGGTGATTACAGGTATTGTCTCAGTCTTCCACAGAGATGCCTCTGTGTTATTTGATCCTGGTTCCACTTTTTCATATGTGTCATCATATCTTGCCCGTTATTTGGATACGTCCCGTGAGTCTCTTGTTTCATCTGTTCATGTATCTACTCCGTAGGCGATACTATTTTTGTGGACCGTGTGTACCGGTCGTGTGTGGTGACCATTGAGGGTCTGGAGACCCGAGTGGATCTTTTGTTACTTTCTATGGTGGATTTCGATGTGATTTTGGGCATGGATTGGTTATCCCCGTGCCGTGCTATTCTAGACTGTCATGCTAAGATAGTGACGTTGGCGATGCCGGGTGTGCCACAGATTGAGTGGCGAGGTTCGACTGATTTTGTCCCCAGTAGGGCGATTTCGTTCTTGAAGGCCCAGCGGATGGTTGGGAAGGGTTGTCTTTCATACTTAGCCTTCGTGAGGGATGTCAATGCAGAGGCTCCTAGTATTGATTCTGTTCAAGTTGTGAGGGATTTTCCCGATGTGTTTCCTGGAGACCTGCCGGGCATGCCCCCAAACACGGATATTGATTTTGGTATTGACCTGGTGCCGGGCACTTAGCCCATCTCTGTTCTGCCGTATCGTATGGCACCAGCGGATTTGAAGGAGTTGAAGGAGCAGCTTCAGGAACTCCTTGATAAGGGGTTCATTCGGCCTAGTGTTTCGCCGTGGGGTGTGCCTGTTCTGTTCATGAAGAAGAAGGATGGCACCATGAGGATGTGCATTGATTACAGGCAGTTGAACAAGGTTACAATTAAGAACTAGTACACCCTGCCTCGCATTGATGATTTATTCAACCAGCTTCAGGGAGCAAGGGTATTCTCCAAGATTGATCTCCGTTCAGGGTATCACCAGCTGAAGATCAGGGACTCGGATATTCTTAATACAACTTTCAGGACCCGATATGGTCACTATGAGTTCCTTGTGATGTCTTTTGGGCTGACCAATGCCCCAGCAGCGTTCATGCACTTGATGAACAGCGTGTTCCGACCGTATCTCGACTCGTTTGTCATAGTTTTCATTGATGATATTCTGGTGTATTCGAGTAGTCAGGAAGAGCACGCGGAGCATTTGAGAGTGATATTGCAGCGGTGAGGGACGAGAAGCTTTATGCAAAGTTCTCCAGATGTGAGTTTTGGCTCAGTTCAGTGGCTTTCTTGGGACACATCGTGTCCAATGAGGGTATTCAGGTTAATCTGAAGAAGATAGAGGCGGTTCAGAGTTGGCCCAGGCCGTCCTAGAGATTCGCAGTTTTCTTGGTTTGGTGGGTTATTACCGTCGGTTCGTTTAGGGATTTTCATCTATTGCATCACCCTTGACCAAGTTGACTCGGAAGGGTGCTCTGTTCCAGTGGTCGGATGAGTGTGAGGCGAGCTTTCAGAAGCTCAAGACTGCCTTGACCACGACTCCAGTGTTAGTTTTGCCATCAGCTTCAGGTTCATATACAGTGTATTATGATGCTTCGAGAGCGGGTATTGGATGTGTGTTGATGCAGGAGGGTGGGGTTATTGCTTATGCTTCTCGTCAGTTGAAGCCCCATGAGTAGGGGTGTGCATTCGATTTATCGATTCGATTTTGACCCTTATCGATAATTACTTATCGATTTGTACATATGCTTATCGTTATCGTTTCAATAAGGTTTTAATTTTTTCGATTTCGATTTATCGATTTGGGGGCTTATCGATTCAGTTATTGATTACACCAATAAGAAAATTTACGGGATTCCACGGAAAGTATATCGCTATAAACGCGCCTAACTAATATGGACAAAAAGAAGCTAAAATAAGACGAACACCATTTATAATATAAAAATTATGTCAACAAGCACATGCAACAAAACTAAAGTAAGGGATCAAATGTATGCCACCAACACTCCAACGGTATAAAAAAAATAAAACAAAACAAAACACATCATCACGGCTAATTCTGTTTTCCATTAATTTGAACTTCATTCCCTTGATCTTTAAATATGATCATTCCTTAAATGTGGTAGAGGAAATAATAGGGTAAGGGACTTAGGGTAAAGGAAAGGGTATAGATTAGGGAAAATAATATTCTATAGTCGCTTTCAAAATAGTAGCGGAATATATATACATTCTGTATGTTATATTAATCTACACAAATAGGTAATTACTCATTTAACAAGTGTCTACAGTCTAGGGGTGTGCATTCGATTTATCGATTCGATTTTGACCCTTATCAACAATTACTTATCGATTATCAATTTGTACATATGCTTATCGTTATCATTTCAATAATGTTTCGATTTTTTCGATTTCGATTTTGATAACAAATAATCGATTCAATTTATTGATAAACCGATTCGAATGCACACCCCTACCCACGAGAAGAACTACCATGTTCATGATTTGGAGTTGGATGCCATTGTTCAAGCGTTGAAGATTTGGAGGCATTATTTGTATAGTGTGTCTTGTGAGGTGTTTACTGATCATCGTAGCCTCCAGCACTTGTTCAAACAGAAGGATCTCAATTTGAGGCAGCGAAGATGGTTTGAGTTGCTAAAGGACTATGATATTACTATTCTGTACCATCCGGGGAAGGCCAATGTAGTGGCCGATGCTTTGAGCCGGAAGGCGGTCAGTATGGGCAGTCTTGCATTTATTCCTGTTGGGGAGAGACATCTTGCAGTTGATGTCCAGGCCTTGGCCAATCGGTTCGTTGGATATTTCGGAGCCTAGTCGGGTATTGACTTGTGTGGTTTCTCGGTCTTCCTTGTTTGATCGCATCAGAGAGCACCAGTATGATGATCCTCACTTGCTGGTCCTTAAGGACAGAGTTCAGCACGACGACGCCAGAATGTGACCATTGGTGATGATGGGGTGTTGAGGATGCAGGGCCGGATTTGTGTGCCCAATGTGGATGGGCTTCGGGAGTTGATTCTGGAGGAAGCCCATAGCTCGCGGTATTCCATTCATCCGGGTGCCGCGAAGATGTATCAGGATCTGAGACAGCATTATTGGTGGAGGAGGATGAAGAAAGAC